CCGATCAGGGGCATAGGCGCACTCTGGTTCGGATGGTTAAGCACTGGCAACAGCACCACTCCACTTCCGCGTTAGACAGATTCAGGAGCATTGACCTTAAGTGGCGCGAGGGAGGCGGCGACTGTATTGCCTATTGAGTAGTACTTGTGGTGACTTTGTGGCACTGAGCACACTGAAACACACACTGTCATTGGTCCTTCGGCAGTAATAAAGCCGGCGCAACCCCTCGCTAATTATAATCACCACAAAAAAGGAGACACACAGTGGCAGGAACAGCAGCCGCAGCAGCAGCAACATAAACAGTAGTAGTACCAGAAGTAGTAGTCGTCGCACACGCCAGAACCAGCGTCTGAAAGCACAGACAGCAGCTTTCTGGTTGTGGTTGTAGTGGTGGTGGTGTTGTGGTGGTAGCTGTATCTGTTTGAAGGCACTTGCCACCAACAAACAACATGGCAGTGCATCGGCAATGCTGCCAAAAGCACCAAACTCACCCTCGAGCGAATCCTCGCGGCGTCGGCATGGTGGCATCATCATTGCGTTAGGTGTCGCTTAGGCCACATTGCACTTTTCAACTCTGTTCCGCACTTTGTTTTGCTCCCTCTCTACCTCTCTCTCNCGAATCCTCGCGGCGTCGGCATGGTGGCATCATCATTGCGTTAGGTGTCGTTTAGGCCATCATTGCACTCTTCAACTCTGTTCCGCACTTTGTTTTGCTCCCTCTCTACCTCTCTCTCTACCTCTGCACACCTTTGTGCCTTTTGTCCCCCCAATGGGCCAAATCTACCGGCTGTCGGCAAAGTCCACTTCGATGTCACTTGCCTCTGTTGGGTGATTGTGCAGTAGTGATCACCTGCAGCCCCTTTACCTGTTTGCATCTGCTCTGTGTGCCTTCAGTTGGTCTTTCACCGCCGATCAGCACAGTGCCTTTTCAGCTGAAACAACTCCGGCGGCACTCATCGCACTTCAACGACGGTAAACATCTACGGCAATAGCAAGAGCAATAGCACCATCATCGATGAAATACGAACAGGTGAGTGCAGTTGTTCACGCTGTTTGACATGTGGACGGCAGCAGTACCACTAGAGCATGCGAATCGCAGTGGCCATTGTGCAAGTGGGCCAGTGGCAAGTGAAAGTCTCAAGTCCGCTTCGACTGCTTGTTGACTGCTACTCAGGTGCCGACTCTTTGCCCGTGTGCTAGGCACACACACACGGTCAATAAACTCTAGTGGCAGCTATTTTTGCCGTCTTAATTTCCGCTTTCTTCCACCGAACAAAGCTGAACTTGTTGTGTGGCGTGCACGAAGAGCGAGAGCGTGTCCTGAACAATGGCCATGCAAAGCAGTGGCAGCTGCTGCGCTGCAGTGAAACTTAAAATAAACGGGCAGAGGAAAAAGTGCGGACAGGTTGAGAAGACAGGTTGAAGAGAGTGAGAGCGGGAGCGGGAGAGGAGAGACGGACAGTGATCTGGTGAGTAGGCGAAGTTCCACCGACTCGCATCAGCTGATCATGAACTGCTTGACCGCCTTCGCAAGCGCGGCCGGTTCGCAAGTGGTTGCTTCCATCGACTCACCCAGTGTCTTCACCTGGTGTCCGAGTTGCGCTCGGCCCAGATACGACCTCTATTTTAGTGGCGTAGCTATTTAGCTCAACTGCAGCTGCTGCAGCTTCGAGTGAAACTTGATTGACCAGTGACTGTGACGAGAGAGTGCTCTCAGTAAAATACATGACAACCAGGTTTCTGTGTCTGTGCTCGAGGAGGCAGCAGGTTATAAATAAGGGTGCTCCCGAGGATTACCGTTCATATTGCCCGTAGCTCGGTGTACTCCAACACACGGTCAGCCGCTCTTCCCCGTCACTTGTGCAGTGTTTTGCTCACCTGTTCTGCCTCTTCCAAACACCCCCTTCAGTTCGACTAACCAAATGATTGGCTTTCAGTGTTCGACGACCATCACGCAGCCCTGTCTGGGGCGGACCATCTTCCCCTCGTCGGGTTCGCATCCGAATGCACCCAATGTGGCGTTCCACAATCGAGCTCAAATATCGCCCAACTTGATCGACTACTTTCCCCTCAATGGAGATGGACTGCGACTCAACTGGGCGCACGCCGTCAACAGTCGGTCCAAGCTGATGGTGGCAATTGCCGGTATGTACTGACGGAGAAAACGTGCGTAGAACATGCTCTTTACCTCCTTCCACCCCAGGCGACGACCTAATGATCGAGGCCGATGTGACGCTGGCCGAGACCTCTCGCTACCCAGTGCCCATCATGGCACACCCGCCCAGCAACACCAGTGATCTGACGTTGGAGGACTTTTTGGTTGAGGTGGTCAGGTCGAACTGCGCCAAAGGCATCAAGCTTGACTTCAAGTCGACTCGAGTCGTGGAGCCAGCCTTTCGCGTTCTCGCCCGCCATGCCGACTTTATCAAGGGCCCCATTGTCCTCAACGCTGACATTCTCGCTGGTATGCCATCCTAAAGTGTGGTCACTGCTTGGCCAACTAACACACTCCCCTCTCCACCAGGACCAAACAACCCCGCGACGCCGTCAGTGGACGCCTGGACCTTTCTGATGCTTTGCCGAACTCGCTTCCCCAAGGCCATCATATCAATTGGCTGGACGACCAACCTCGCAGAGGGGCAAATCAAAACCGGCTACACTCGTGAGATGGTCGACCACATGGCCTCACTGGTGCGGGAGTACAATCTGATGCAGCCGCTGACGTTTCCCGTCAACGCCACGCTCCTCAAGTATTCCATCTGCGAAGTTCAACGCCTCCTCTTTCAGGTGAGTTTTTAATTCCGATTCCTCTAACCCCCACTGACCATTGTTTGAATCTGCTTTTCACAGGTGCCCAACAGCACTCTGACGGTGTGGGCACACCCGGAAGAGTTCGCCAACAGCAACCTCACCCTTCACGACCTCCTCATCATTCGGAAAGCATTCTCACCCAATTCAGTCTTTTACGACATGCACTCGGAGGCAATTGCGGAACTACGTCGTGCCAGCCTGTGACCTAGTCACTCTCTTCCTATTTCTCTTTCTCTTATGCCTTCACAAGGGGGTGGCTCGGGTCGAGTACAACTCTAAACAAACTCGCCGTCAAATGACAAGGTGTGTCTCGCGTAGTGTGAAGATGGCATCTGCCATAAACAACCGGCACTACCTTTCTCTTTCCCTCCACTGCCTTGGCTGCGCTGTTACCAAGCTAGTCCCAAAATCACACACCGGCAAAACGATTGTGCAATAAAACATGTTCCCTCTCTTTCTCTCTTTTTCTTCAATCCAACTGTGCCTTTTCAATAGAGCAAGTAAAACGCCACCGATTCTCGCTGTTATAAATTTGATATTCAACACACACACAAAACTATTCGCTGTATTATATCGTTTATATTTTACATTTGGTTATACAAATAAAAGCACATTTACAAACGAGACTATTGACCAGAATGTCTCGAGAGAGGGCGAGTACAGTCTTTTTTCCACTCGTGAAATTTCAGGTACATTATCAGTTCAATAGTAACGACGATCATCTCTTGTCCTTCGTTCCGGTCTGCTGTGGCTAGACGACTCATGGCGTGATGGCATTCGTCGATAAGGATCATAGTGAAGATCATACTGCACAAACAAACTTAGAAACTGAAAACGTATAAAAAGTACACTAAATTACTTACTGAATTGCCCTGTTGCAGTCGATAATGTCCATTTGTAGGCTCGTGTCGTCTGGTTGAATATCGATTTCGGTCTGAGCTTGAGTAATCACGATCTACAAACATCAAGATTAGAGAAAATCTAAAAAAACTCAAAAAGTTACCATCTCGAATGTTTCTACTAGAATAATGTCGGGTCAAATGGGCATCACTGTTACTGCTCGTTCTTTTCCTGAAATTACAAAAATACCCAAAATAAAAACTGAAACCACTTTAAAGCTATTCCAAATTCTCACCTAACAGAGTACGCCTCGCTGGAAGAATGCGATCGAACTCGATAGTCCTGGCTGGTGGGGGCACCAGAACGGGCCGAGTCTGGCTCCATAAAAGGACGACGAACGTGTCGCTTTTTGGGACGATTTTGGGTCTGGTTCTTCATGCGCTTCAGCAGAGGAATCAGATCGACATCATTGTCAGGCGGAAAAAGTCGGCAGAGCTCTTCCCCGACTTGAGGATCAATTTCCTGGCCATCTCGACCAATTTTGACTGGCTTTCCATCGTTGAATGAATTGAACAAGTGAGTTGTATTGTTGAATGAAAGTTCACTGCGGTTAATCCAATCAACGTAAAATAGTCCCCCAAACGGGCATTTCTTCACACCAGGTGGCAAAGACCAATTTACCGGCTCGGAATCGTAGTTGGCCAGTGAAGAAAGTCTAGCAAAACCTGCATACGCACAAAATTAGTTTTTAAACAAATAATAAAAATCTCAAGTTTACCTTGAAACTTGCCGCTTTCCTTGACAGAAAATATTAGTATAACATTGCGGAATTCATTAAACGCACTGTTCAGCTTGATCTCATTAGAGTTTGGAGTGGCCCAAACACTTTCTCGCTTGGAAATGAGAACATTTTCCTCGTTGTTGCTTTTCATCACAAAATAACAACTGTCTTTGAAAAAGTACTTCAACAGCGAATTGTAATCGCGTGATTTTGCACTCTTTTTTCGCTTCTTTGATCTGACATCTGCAGACCAACACAAATTAGAAATGTGATACGAGTACACCACTAAGCATCACTTACCGCTGCCCTCGTCCTTGTGTCGCCTCTTGGTGCTCTTGGCACTTTGCCCCAGGTCTGGCGGAGGTGAATTCAAGTTTTTGACCGTGCGAGAGTCCGAGTTGCTGTGAATCTTGATTTTCACTAAAATCATAAGATCATAAATAAAATGCAAATGGCATAGTCAGGCAAGTATTACGGCTTGGAGAACGCGTAAATGACTGGTGCGATGAGCTGCCGGCAACAGGTGGTGAGTGTCGACGAGGCGGTGGAGGGGAGGGAGAACGCGAAGCTGACCGGGAGCTGTGATCCTCACAAGAGCAACTGCCACTGTGTGTGCTGTACTCGGAGCCAACCGATTCGGCTCGCACTGCTGCCACCGTTGTCTGCTGCTGCTTCCCGTTTCCATTTCCGTTTGATCCATTGCCCTGCCGCAAATATCAAATGTGAAACATGTTTCACAAGTGATCAAGTGCCTACCTTGAATCGGCTTCCATGCTGATCTGCCTTGGGTGGAGCTGCTGGAAGTAGCTTGATTTTAATTCCTGCAATTCCAAAAAATACTGCATTAATTTCAAAATCTAAAACTGCAGAGCGCTCCTACCTCGAGGCTTTTTAAAGCCCTTGATCAGCTCCACATCCAGCTCGTCATCTTCAGGGTGATCCAAGAGCTCATCTAAAACATTTCGTTCCTCACGTCGCCCTTTAATAGCAATCGACAAAGCAAATATAAATAAGCAGTACTAAAATGCCGTCAAGCAAGGCAATTGTTTCTTTTATAAAATCACGTCATCATAAAATGTAAAATAAGGTGTTGATTTTACACAAGGGTGAAGAAGGAGAGAAAAAAGAGTGTGCGTCACTTCCAAACGACAATCTTTTTGTTTCGATCAGCACTAACAAAGAGGCCGCCTTTGGGATGCCATTCGACGGCGACAACGGTTCCGGAATGGGCGTTATTAGATAGCGTAGTCTCGAGTTTGGCCAAGTTAAAGTCCCAAATGTAGACTGAAGAGTCACCGCTGCCACAAGCAACGTAGCGATTGTCGGGACTGAACTTGGCGCGAGTCCAGTCACAGCTGACGTTGAAGCCATCTGCGGCGTAATCTCGCAAGACCTGGTTCATTCGCAAATCGAGACACTTCAAGGTGTCATCACGGACGCTGCACAGAAGCGAGTTGCCGTCCGGAGACACGTCGAGCGAGGTAATTTTGCCCTGAAGCAGAATGTCGTTTGCGTTGCAATCTGAGCGAGTGTCCCAGAAACGAATGCGCTTATCGAAGTGGGCACTGGCTACCAGGGTTTCCTTCGAGTTTATGTTCACCAGATCATTGCAAGAGGAGCCGGCAAAGAGTGTACGAACGCAGGCGTTTCGATTTAGGTCCCAGATCTTTAGCGTCCTGTCGTAGCTTCCCGACACCACTTTGCTGTTGACGCCCAGAAACTTGACTGACATCACTTTGTTGGAATGGCCAGTCAAGGTTCGGCGAAGTCGGGTGTCGTTCATTGTCCACACTCGACTCGCATAGTCATTTGATGAGGCGGCGAGAAACTCTTCAAATATATCAATCGAGGTAACTGCGGCGTTGCTGCCGGCGAGACAGTTGACTAGGCGGGCTTGTGAGTCGACAAGCTCCCAAATTTTTACCTTTCGGTCGCCCCCTCCGGTTGTCAACTGCTCAGTTTTGCTGTTCCACTTTATAGCATATATCTCTGAATCGTGGCCTTCAAAAGAAAATGCGACTTTGCTCGGTAAAATGGCGTCAATAAGTAGAGGGTTGCAAATGTCATCTTCATTAATGGCATTCATTTCATTGATCGTCTCTTCCTTGACAATCATCGAATTGGCTGCTTCTTGAAGCTGTTTGCTCATCTTTTCATTTTGAATTTTGGTAAACTTTTCATTTTCCTCATTTAGCGCATCAGCATCTTTTGCCTTTAACTGAATCCACCGGGTAATCAGTGAATTGTAGGTCGTATTGAGTGTGTCGTATTTGTCTTTAAGACTATTGTAGGCAAGCTGTGTGGAGGTGTGTTCGTCGTTGATCAAGTTCACTTGAGACTCAAGTTCTTTGCAGGTTTCCTGAAGAGAATTGCACTTGCTTTGAGTTGCCTCAAGGTTTACCATCGCATCATGGTACTTTGTTTTTAGCTCAGCATTTTCTTTAAGAGCACTTTGAAGTTGCAATTTAAGTTCACTGTTGACTGTCTCACTTTGTGCTGCATCCTTCTTTAGTTCCTTTATTTCATTTTGAAGTTGAGCGAGCTTATCCGCAGAAACATTGGCCGAATGTGACGATGAAGTTGGGTTGTTTTCAAGAAGCAACTTTTCGCGTTGGAGGGAGTCGATCTTTTCAATAAGACTATTACACGTAACAATCACAGGCTCAAATGGTAGTTGCTCGCGCTTATTGCGAGCTTGCAATTGTTGAATGATAGATCTACGCCACGGAGTGGTCACGGCCATGGCCATCTTTGCTTTCAGTTGAGAGAGGTGAAGGGTGGCACAAGTTGGCACTGATCAAAGGTTCAAAACAATAACTTGGGAAATGCCCTATACACCTAGAAATACGAAGCAGCAAATATAAAGAAAGGTTCAATGGGCAAACTGCAAGGCGTGAAAGAGAAAGAGAGGATGATCGGATTGATGCGATTGGCACGCGTGTAACGATAACGACAATCAGGCAGTCATCAAAACACAAAACATCACAACGGGTAGAAAAGATGAAAAGAGTTTTCTTAGGAGAAGGAGAACAGAGCACGACACACGCACAGAGCACTGAATTGTCTTTAAATCAAGAGGTCCTAGAATTGCTGGGTGGTGGACTATGAGACAAACCTTTCATATCAGATTCCTTTGTGTTCATTTTGAGAGCACAATGAGTCAAAGGCAAAGTATGGAGAGAATGTGGCAGGAGAGAGAGGGCGGGACTGTACTGAGCAGAAATGCAGCAGGACGCCAATCACTGATGAGGTGTGGTGTGTGATACCAAATATATTCAAGATGGGGGAGGAGGACTCTGGCGCAGAATAAAGATGGCCGTGAAAAAAGAAGAATAAAAACCTGGTGATGTCTTCAGTAACTGAAGTTCAGTTGTTGTCTTGAGTTGCGTGGTGGCAAGTTGCCACTGGCAACTTTTGAGTTAGCAGCCTAGAGTGAGCTCACATAGTACGTACTGGGACAGATACGAAAATTCCCGCTAACCGGATCCTCCTCCGCCTTCTTTCTCTCTCCGAGATGATGGCTCTCCTGTACGCAAATAGTCCGCTGGTGCTTGTTAATTTACAGAATGATTCTTTCAACATTTGCCGAATCATTGGTGTAGATTTTATGAATAGGCCACTAAAACCAAATTACCCATGAATCGTCAGTTATTTGTCATTTTACTAGTAGATAAGTAACATTGTTTGCCATTATTACTAGACAAGCACGCAAGACATTTCACTTTCAAATCGAATGTCTGTTCATGTCTAAAACATGGTAATGCAGGCGACAAATTAATTTAGCCAGCTTTTTATCAGCCGCCAGGGCTATGTATACACATGTATCGGTGACGCTCCGGCGCACCACTAAATTGGCTCGCTTGTTGTCTGTCTTCTTATCCCTCTGTAAGAAGCGAAACGTGACTGAAAGCCACCTCTCTACTGGTGGCCACTAATTGAGATGAGAGTTGGTCAATCACCAGTCATCAACGGTGATCGCTTGTAATCGATTGAGCCGTGATCGAGCGCACTATGGACACTTTGCACAGTGCACTCGGCTGCTGTGTCAGGCACAGGTATTACCAGCAACACAGCGTTGATTTGATTCAAGAAATTAATCATCATATATTACTTCTTTTTATCAATGGAAATAACAATAATTCATTAACGGACATGAAGGATAGGTGTTCTCTGTTCGGTGTGTGTGTTGATGGCTGCATTGCTGCCTGTTGTTGTTGCTGCTGCTGTTGTATTTATGCACCGAAGGCTGTCGGCTTGGCTTTGCGGCAAAGATTGGGTGGGAAAAGGACAGGAAGGAAGGAAAAAGGGTAGGAATTGGGAGGAATGGCACACTCGTAGAATTGATTCGAAAGTGATTTTATATGTCATCGCTTGCAAAATGTATAATCTGTCGTGGTAATCAAAATAATAGTAATAGTTCCAAATACTGCTGATGAGAAGCTTCAGTTGTGGTTGCAGAGGAATGTTCACTGCTCGGGTGCATTTCCCACAACTCTCTTTCTCTCCCTACATCTGTTGAATGATTTCGTACTTTTCCCGCAGGTCAATGTTTGCTTTTTTGGCATCCTTCTTCTTGCGCTGCGCAATGATCTGGCGCATCTCCGAAGCAGTCATGTTTAGGTTCAGGTCAAAGGGTGAAGAAGTTCCATTGGGGGCGGACATCTTCAGTGAGTCGGCACTGCCCCCGCCCACACTGGGCATGGACTCGTGCGAGGCGCCCAGTTCATTGATGGAGGAATGGGAGGACTGGGGCGAGTCGGTGCCGCTGTCCAGTCGACTGCTGCTGGCGGTGCTCGTGGCGCCGTTGCTCAGCGAAGACGGTGCCCGATTGGAGTGGGAACTCTGCTGGCCGTGCTGGCTACCTGCCTTGCTGATGCTCTCCGTCGGCGGCGGTGGCTGTGGCTGTCAGTCAAGAAGGATTGATCATTAGTTGGTGACAGTGCTGCGGCAGATGTAGATTAGCTACATCAGCGGGCTGTAAAGTCGCTAGCGACCAAGTCATTCGCTGCATCGGTAACTCTGCCGGCCAGTAGCAATAAAACGGTAAAAACAGGGCACCATTAAGTGGGCTAGCGCTGCCCCAGTCTCTCTCACTTACTGCCAGTAATTCCTCACCAAGGAAGGAGTGAGATTAAGGAAAGTCTACAACTAGACAATAAAGCACTAGCGGCAGAAGTGATGCTCCATCAGGCTAATGCTAATGACGGTGCGAAGTGAAAAGAGAAAAGAAGTGAGCCACTTGAAGAGCCACTGCAGACACGACAATGCATTGTGCGCAGCATGGGATACTGTCTTGGGATGACTCAAGACGAGGCATATTTGGACAGTGTCTGTGTCTGGGAGCACCACCTCGGCTGGGATACTAAAACTGCCATCAGCAGTACTGAGCAAACACACGCACGCTTGTTCATTCATTCATTCATTCATTCATTCATTTGTTTGTTTGTTTGTCCGCTGGTGGACTGTCCATTTGCTGAAACGCCCTTGCTGTGCGATGTTGTCAGAGAGAAAGTGTCTTCAGTGGCAAAAACACTGCTAGCAAGACTGAGGCACTTGAGCTTTCATCATCATCACACACTAAAATAACGATCGATTGTCAAGTGGTGCTACTGGGACAGTAAAGTGCCGGTGCAAAGTGCAGTGATGAACAGGCACTTCACTGGGTAAAGTGCCCTGGCGACAGTTGCAGCAGCACACAGGCAGACGCAGAGAGAAAGAGTGACACTGCCTGGTGATGGAACAAGCTTAAAATTACCTGTGGTGGCATTGTAGTGTGGCTGCTGCTGGCTGATGACGACGACGACGACGACGGCACTGACTGCTCCTCAGACTTGCTGATGCTCGAAGAGCTGGGCCGATTGCGTAGTGCTAGGTCGGGCGAGCTCTCTGCCACTGGCAGAGTGCCCATGGGAGGTCTGGGGACGGGAGTGCGGAAGAAGGTGACATTCGACTGAGAACTCTTGACGACCATCTTCCTCTCGCGGTACCACTTGTCGGCGTGTTCGTCCAGCACCAGCAACCTCGTCTCGTTGGGAATGGACTTGATTCGTTCCACCACTTGCCGGTGGTTCTCATTGCTAATATTTACAAAGTTGACCTGAAAGGAAAGCACACAATGAAAATGACTAAATAAAAATCAGTAGCAGCCAAAGCACCTCAATGATCTTGTCTCCCTCGCGGAGGCCGGCAAGGACGGCCGGCGAGTCATCGTCCACCTTGCCGATGAACTGGCCCGATTTGTTCTTTTCCGCATGTAGGTTGAAGCCGTATCCGTCAAAATCGGGCCACTTGATGAGATGGCACAGTCGAGGACAGGGCGCGTCTTCAGGCAGAGCCATGTTCTGATGATAAGGTGGAGGATGCGGGTGAGATGGTGTGGTTATTTAGTAAATGAAGTGTAATCTGCTGGCGAAACACTGTGGAATGGTTCGAGGAATGCACCAACTACCGATGCTGGTGCCTGTAGTGCCGCTGGTGATCACTGGGCCAACTGCAGTGCCGCTGCTGGCTTGCCGCTGGTTGATGCTGGCTACAGTGCTGATCAGTGCAGCTCTTCACTACAGTGACGATGGCGACCTGCCAATGTGCACAGCTCCATCGAGGGTCGGCGTTAACCTAACACACACACACATTCACTCTCCACAGTCTCTCTCCTTCTGTGGCTGTGAGCGGCAGCAGAGAGAGAGAGAGGCTGCAATCCTCAGTGACGGCTAGCTGCAACAAGTGGCCGACTAGTACTCACACACAGATACAGACAGACCTACTGTTGAAGGCAGCAAAGACGCTCACTGCCGGGAGAATCAACTGCGTACAGCCGCGGGGCGGGCCAATAATCTTTGCTGGCCTTTTACTTCACTGACTGCCGCGTGGCGCGAACTGCAATCAAGACGGTGGATAGTTGCAGAGACACTGCACAGCTGCAACGGCAGCAGCAGTGACAGGCATACCTGCAGATTGATTCCCGCAATGGTCCGTTAGCTCTCGGCAAATCATCACTCTCCGATTACTCCTCCACAGTGTTCCTACCCAGAGTTCTGACACTGGGAAATGTGTAGCTGCCCTCAGTTTAGCAGTCGTACCGCAGGCACTTTCGTGTGCGACTCGTCCTTGCTGGGGATGGATGGATGGGAGAGAGATGGTGAGTGGCTACTGTCTCCGCTACCATCACCACCACCACCACCACAGCACTATCGATAACAACAGTCGTTGTGGATCAGTGCCGAGATCAGTGGAGCTGATCAGAGCTTACAAAATAGAACACCTCTCTCTTTCTTTGTCTGCCCGTACTGTCGTGCTTTACTGCTCATATCAATCAATGACGCTCTCAATGCATTCATTAGGCTTTAAAGAACAGAGATTGACAAGAGCTCCGTCGGCTTCTCGGCGGCATGAGTGCTAATTGCCAAACTGCGGACGACAGCGCGCAGAGAGATAGGTTCAAGTGCACTTGTCTCACGAGGCAGAATAGCAAAAGTCGTGAAGGAAGCACTGAGAAGTGGGCAGCCAGACGAACCTCGAGTCAAAGATGGTGTTGTTGCAGATAATGCAGACGCTGAGGACATTAGGAGAAAAAGAAGAGGGAAAGTGCCGTTAGATTGAAAGAATGCACTTTGATTACTCCTGCAAGTCACACCGTACCTGTCTTTGCCGAGGCGAATGGGCTTGCGTGACAACTCTCGCTTCTGCTTCTTCAGACGCTCCAGTTGAGACAGCGACAGGACAATGCCCATTGAAGACTGGTGGTGCCGATTAAACGCTGCCCGCAGGCTGTTTATCACAAAGCGACGAACAGTAGGCAGTGGCCAGTCGTTCGGCAGTAGCTTCACAGTGTCCACCAGGTCAAACTGACAGAGCGAGTGGTTGACTAGGTTCAACAGTGGCTTCACCATATCTGGGCCATTTCTGAAAGTAAAAACATGCATTTAGAATCAGCCCTGTAAAAACGGAGGCAAATTCATACTCCTTGTACAAGTCTAAATATATATTAAGTAGTATCCTGAAGGTTTCATTGCTGTTCTCCTGCTTCGAGTAGTATATGCAGTGCTTCAGTGCTCGCTCGTGGTCCATGTGCTTGCCAAGGTACAGCTCAAATGCCTTTGCATGATCTCCCGTTTGGCCATAGAGAAAAGCAGATTCGTTGTCCTGCGAAAGCTCCTCCAGTTCAGCCTTCACCTGAACTAGTTTGGTATTTTCAAAGTCCCGATTGGAGATTAGTCCATTTTCTGAAAGGGTATCACAAAGCTCAATTGCTTCTTGAGATTTTCCACTGTCAAGCAGTGAATCAATCTGCTCTTCCCAGGGAAGACGTCGAAGATAGAAGATACTGTCGCTTGAAGCTATCACAATTTTGCCATCAAAATTGTCAATGTAGGCGCCGTTTTCAAACGGAATCTCTTCCTTCATCTGAGAGTCAATCACACTGAAAACAATTACATGATTAGGCTTATGAAAGTGTTTGTATAGTTATCAAATTATTACCTAATTATGGTGATGGAGTACTGCTTCAGACAGAGAATGAATGGGTACGAGTAGGCGATGCGCTTCACATCCATTCCCCAGTCAATCGGTGGCCTCTCTGAGATGCCCGACGTATTGACAAAGACGCCCAGGTGAGAGAGGCCATTGATGAGGAACTCATTCCTGGCCACATGCTTGCACACCGGACTCATAGAGGAGGTAGAATCATTGCTAATCAGCTGCTGACATTCACCAGATTGCCAGTCAAGCATGTAGTAATTGTTTTCCGCAGCCATGCACACAAAGTACCCGTCCATTGCGACTAAAATCGGCTGCTCAGGCACCGTCACCTCCTTGACTAGTGTCAACTTGTCCGCTTGCAGGTGGTAAATGCAGACAGATTTCTTCTTCACCAGACACAACTCCAAGGTGAAGGGATCTTCCAGTAGCATAGGATTTTCATTCAGGCAGAATGAGTAAATGTTTTTTATCCTCAAGCTGTTGATCACCTCCAGATTGTTCAAGTTTAGAGCCACAAAGGTGGCATCGTACACGCAAAGTATGCGCTCCAGAATTGGCGCAATCTTGATTTGCGTTACTGCCTTCTTCGTGGACATATACCGGTGCTGCGGTGTCGGCTGAGGGGTGACAAACGCCTCCAGTACGTCTTGGTAGCAAAGCACAAATCCATCAGCAGTGCCGAGGTAAACATCATTGTTGTTCACTTCCAAGCAGGTTATCTGCAATGAGCAATTTTATAATTCAAATCTCAAATGTCAACCGGCAACACTCCGCCTTCTCCTACCTGAAAGTTAATCTTCTCATTGAGCCGAACTGACTCTAGAACGGGCAGTATCTCAAATCGTTTGACATCCATTTGATAGTGCAGCTCCCGATAGAGTACTGCAGGAGAACAACCAAAGTGCCGATAGAGTCGATGAAAGTTCAGCGGAGTGGTGATTGAAAACACCGACTGAGGAGGACTGCCCAACAACAAAACACTGTCGCCGACTCTCCTCTTTCTTTCTCTCTCTAGCTCTCGCTCAGCTGATCTGCAGACACTACCGTGGCTTTATGTTTTCTGGCCTCGTCTGCAGACGCTCCCTGTAAGTGAGTCATTGCACGCTTCTGCCTGTCAGATTGTCGACTTATTTACCATTTTTATATTTGTGTTGATTTCCTTTGTTCTCTCATACTTTTATTTCTCAACCCATTCACTTTAAAAAGCTGCATCACTTTGCTGCCTTTTCTCCCAACGCCATCATTGTGTACTAGCTCGTGATCGGGAACTCCCTTCAACGAGATAGCTCTACTTCGACGCCAGCAATCAGATCTGTAGCCTTCCTCTTGACACCTAACTAGCACTGTTGGTGGTGGTAAATTGACTCGCCAGATTCGAGTTATCCTCGAGAGACGAAACACATTGAACACTACCATACTCCATCTGATCACTGGGCGCCATAAGGAATCGAGTGGCATTGAAACAGAGTTTCGCGCACGAGTGGACGGGAGCAAAGGCGACATTCTGGTGGCTCTTCTGCTGGAACCTTTGCCCACCCGCACTTGGCCCACTGTGCCAGTTCTCTCTTTCTGGGTTTGTTGCCTTCTTCACACAGGCTGATGCTGTGCAGCAGCTACACTCAGCTGGTCAGCGAAAAGTGAAACGTTCACCATGGTACTCGGCAAATTGTTTCGACTCTACCACAAAAGTGACAAAAACAACGTCTACAGTGTCCTCTTGGAGAATAAAAATGACAAAAACGAGACACTGCTTTTTGAGTCCGGGGCCGTTGGCGTCTTGTGTAAGTGCTTTCCTTGAAGTGCTTCTTCAAGGTTAATTAGAAGTTTTCTACCACTTGCAGCCACTCGGGAAACTGAATCCGTCAAACCGCTTTACTCATTGCTGGCCGATGTTTATGGGTGTTTGGGAACGCTCAACCTGTCACTGGGTAATTACTTATTTGCAGTGAGGTGCTTCAATCCGGTTAACTGCTTTTCTGTTTCCGTTTTCAGCTGATGGAAATTTAATATACCTGGTTTGTGTGACTGGCTGCGTATCGGTCGGCAAGATTCAAAACTCCGAAATCTTCTGCATCACGGACACTTCCTTCATTTCACTTCGCAATAATCCGTCTGACCTGGAGCGCATGCAGGATGTGCGGAAGATTCTCAACTCGGGCACGTTTTACTTCTCTTGGAACAGTTCAAACAGTCAGTCCAAGTTTGACCTTACCCTATGTGCCCAAAAGTCAGAACGAACGAGCAGCACGGATAATCGCTTCTTTTGGAATCGAATGCTCTTCCTTCACCTAAAGTCATTTGACGTCGACACGGAAAAATGGTTGCTCAAGGTGATGTGCGGCGGTGTGTCCATCAACACGGTGTACGTAGGTCATCAGCAGGCCAAGGCTTGTCTCATATCTCGACTGAGCTGCGAAAGGGCGGGCACACGTTTCAATGTCCGTGGCTCGAATGACAACGGTCATGTGGCCAACTTTGTGGAGACCGAGCAGGTCATCTTCATGGACAACAAAGTGGCCTCTTTCATCCTAATTCGTGGCTCTATTCCGCTCTTTTGGGAGCAAACGGGCGTTCAGGTTCGTTGCAGTCTGATAGGCCGTCCTCAAGAATATATCTTCCATTCAATTGCAGGTTGGAACACACAAGCTGAAAATGTCACGTGGTTGTGAGATTTCGCAACCTGCCTTTGATCGCCACCTGGCCATGATTCAGTATCTGTACGGAAAGCAGGTGCTGATCAATCTGGTGGGCAGTAAGGAGGGCGAACAGATGATTGGCACCATGTACAAGAAGCACCTGAAGGCTTCGCGATTTCACCATGACATGCCGTACATTGCCTTCGACTTTCACTACTACTGTCCGCGAGGAAAGGAGGACAACCTGCACTCGATGCTGAAGGAGCACATTAAGCATTCCATTGACGAGTTTTCATTCTACTTTTCGGATGGACAGAACGCGAAGCAATATCAAACGGGCACCTTTCGCGTCAACTGCATCGACTGCCTAGATCGAACCAATCGTGTGCAGACCTTCTTAGGCCTTGAAGTAAGAGTAGCTGCATGCTGATCGCAAGTGTATTGCGTGTAAGGACACGGTGTAACGAAATGTTTTGCGCGTTGTTTTAGATTTTGATGAAGCAGCTAAAAATGCTTGAGTTTGACGGTAAGGCGACGATTGTCTCGCGCTTTCACGAGGTGTACAAGAACATGTGGCAGACGAATGGAGACCAAGTGAGTCGCATTTACGCCGGCACTGGAGCGCTGGAAGGAAAATCAAAGGTAATGCTGGTGTCATTAGCACCGATGACAGCTCACAAATGTGTTCACTTTGTATTCACTTAGTTACGTGATGGCACTCTGTCAGTTGCGAGGACGATTCAGAACAATCTACTGGACAACAGCAAGCAGGAGGCAATCGACATTCTGCTGACGGGCAAGCCGATGAACAATGAGTACGGAGACAAGGCGCGCTCGTTGCTGCCCATTCAGTACCTTCACCTGCCATCGTCCATTCTGAAGCCGCTTAATGAGCGCCTCTTTGAGTACACCTTCCCTACCAGCATCAAGGTGGCCGTGGGCACTTGGAATGTAAACGGCGGAAAGCACTTCAACAGCATCATCTACAAGAGGTCCGACCCACTGTCTGACTGGCTGCTGGACTGCAACAAGAACCAGACGCAGGCTGCTGGAATGAAGAATCTGCTCGACTTGTCGCTGAATGACTCCCTCTCTGACTTGAATGCCAACTCCCCCGATCTCTTCGCCATTGGATTTGAGGAGATTGTCGACTTGAGTGCTCAGAACATTGTCGCCACCAGTACGACCAGTCAGAAGGAGTGGCTCACTGAGCTGGAGAAGACGCTCTCTCGCAATGAACAGTACGTACTGGTCACCTCTGTGCAACTAGTTGGCGTCTGTCTCTTCCTCTTTACCAAGCCTAAATACGCCCGCTACATTCGGTACAGTTTCACGCTTTTTTGGTCGCCATTTTGCCTAACTAAACAGTTTATTTCTTCTCAACAGTGATGTGGCAACTGATCAGGTGAAGACGGGCTTTGGAGGTGCCACCGGAAACAAGGGAGGCGTTGGCATTCGACTGCGACTGTTCAGCTCGTCACTGTGCTTTGTTTGCTCCCACTTTGCTGCTGGTCAGCATCAGATTGCAGAGAGAAACTCGGACTTTAAGGAGATTGGCAGAAAGTTGTTCAACTCTATCGGCAAGTCACTGTCCTCGCACGATTACGTCTTCTGGTGTGGAGACTTCAACTACCGAATCGACTTAGATATTGATGTAGTGAAGCAGTTGGTAGCAGAAGAAAACTGGGAAATGCTGCTCAACTATGACCAGTTGACTGTGCAGAAGAAGGAGGATCACGCGTTCAGCAAGTACCTAGAGGGACCAATCAACTTTGCGCCCACTTACAAGTACGACATTAACAGCGACGACTATGACACGAGCGAAAAGTCCCGTATTCCTGCTTGGACAGACCGAGTTCTCTTCAGAAAGCGCCACCCTACAACTGCCGAGGAAAAGGAGTCTGGGGAGCTCAATTATGGAGAAATTTTGTTCTACGGTCGAGCGGAGTTGAAGACGTCAGATCATCGGCCAGTGCTGGGCGAGTTTAAAATTGACATTCTCAAAGTGGACACTGAAAAGCGAAATCAAGTGTTCCGCAGTGTTATTGAGAAAATCGGGCCACTTGATGCGACAGTTATCATACAAGAGCAAAGCGAACTGAGTGGCCTCGGTGAGACTAGCATCTTTGATGAAGCGTACGTCCAGGAGATTCTTGGCAAGTTGAACAATGAAATTGGCGAGATAGTACTGGCTCGTTTCGGGGAAGACAACATGCGTGTCACTTTCAAGGATGGCGGACTGGCTATGAAGATAGCTAACATTGGCTACATCGATGTCATGGAAAAGCGATTTAAAGTGACATTGAAGACGCCCACATGGACTGACCTTGTGGAGGAAGAGGTCCAGTACGGTGTCAGCAATACTGTTTCACTGCTTGAGGGCGTCAAGCAGTTGGACATTGACGACCTCAATGAGTACGACCTGTCGAAGGTCTCCAGACCGAGCAGTCCTACCGACAGCGAGGGCTCTTTGAGCATTGGCAACAGTGTTGCTCCTGCACGTCCACCACCTCCAGCAGCCTCCAAGACCACAAATGGAGAGACGGTGAGTGCAGCTAAAGCTGTTCAGGTGGACTTTTTCTCATTTTCTTTTATTTAATTTTTCCAGGCAAAACCAGTATCCGATGTTTCGGCCAAGCCAATGAGGCCAGCCCCACCACCGCCGAGGCCACAGCAGCCAGCCGCCTCAGCGCTGAGCAAGCCAACTCCAGCGCAGTCCGTCTCTGCGCGTGAAGTAGTCACTCTAGCAAATGACAGCATGAAGGATGACAGTTTCAATGACAGTCTCAACTCTACCTTGAACTCTAGCTTTAACATGCCACCGCCAGCAGTCACACCGCCTCTACCTCGCTTCGACAATGACCATTACGGTGACAACCTTGAAGGGGAGGAAGATGGAGAAACCGCTGAGGACCTCGACGAAAGCTTTGACTATGAGCCTTATTCACCTGCACCAAATCTCCCTCCCCCGAGTCTTCCAGCCCCTGCACCACCGGCCAATCCCCCGCCGCCTCTGCCAAGCAACACTAACATTCCAGCACCATCATCGGCAGCTCCAGCCCCACCGCCGATTCCCTCACGTCGACCATTGCCGACCATTCCACCACGGAACAACACCTGAGCCCCAGTTCAGTCTAGTCAGAGATTTTAATTTAATTTATTAATTTATTTAAATTCTTTATAAGCTACTGTCTTGTTTGAGGTAGTGGCCACCATTCTATAGCCTTGTCCAAACGCGGAACCACTTTTAAATGGCTCTTGCAAAAACCGTTAGACCTACTTTATCCTTTAACTTTATTGTTAACCGGTGTGAAAGCTTTAATGCAGTTAGTTACCGTGATTATTTAAAAAAAAGTACATACAGTGTGTTGATGCAATAAACTTGTCCAAATACTGGTTATTGCTGTTATTATTGAAAGTTGTGGAAAACAGCAAAGTTACGAGAATTTGGCATAACTTATTATCAGAGAATCGATCAATGTCGACGGAAAACGGCAATCATTGTGAAGAGAGAACAAAAGAAGATTGCCGCAAAGGAGAGCAGACTTCTATGAGCAACATTGGCGTCTCGGGTTGTGCGAGGCCGCAAGACGGTGACATAGTCTGCCATGTTTTTGTACGGATTTGTGCCATCGTCGAAATACAGTGGACAGTCATCATCTACAGAAAGTCATCATATAAAAGTCAGAAAAAAATTATATTAAAACATAAACTTGTGCCTAAACTTACGCTCCCGTTCAGATTCAATCATTTCGAGTGCCACCTGCGCCCCGTGAGCAGAGTGGCCACTTCTGACGTCCTGTTTGATGTGACAAAAGGCGCCCACTGACATGGACATGAGAATAATGTTGAGGTCTGCTCGCTGGTACACCCAACAGCGGTATCGACTGTATGCGTCGAAGCTGTCGTAGGTGATCAGATAGGACTTGAGGTTCTCCTTCCAGAAGGCGACGCACTGCATCTGATAGTCAGGCTGACTGTAGATGTCCACTGGGTAGCCGAACTGATCCACCGAAAGGCAGTAGTCGGCGTCAATGCTGATCAGCTTCTTGTCTGAGCCGCAGACGGAAAAGTCGGAAATGTTTGTCTTGCAGTAAACATTGGGACGAGGTGATTGCGTCACACCACCGCGGATTCGCGTCTCAAAGAGAATGTCACCCTGCTGCTTGAATCGAAATTTGCCCCCAATTGGACACTTTACTGAGACTGGATTCTTTGCTGAAAGGTAGTGGAACAAAATCATAAATTAGTGACAAAACAGTTTTGAGCCGGTGGTGAGGATTTGTTACCAATGAGAATGTCGTACTTCCATTCCTGGTCAGAGTTGAACATAGCCCAGGCACAAACAGTGGCAAACTTATCGGTGATCATCGGCTGACCCTTTCGGTAGCGAATAACATTCTGGTGACGTGACACAAAGTCAAAGCAAACGTAGTCTTTTTGACTGATACAATTTGCCATTTAGTAGTCAACTCAAAAAATGAAATTTCTACAACTCACCATCCGTTGACTCCGAGACGCGCCATCACAAATCGACTGCCTCTTTGCTCTTGGCACACGAATATCTCCTGTTTAACCCGTCCGGTATCAGGGCGCCACTTTTCGACCATCATTGTCGAGTTGATCTGCACCATAGCGTCAAAGTTTGCAGTGTTGACCCATTCCCCAGTGAAGTTGGCAGGTAGCGTGCACTTGGCGGGCACTGTCTCCGTCTTCACCGGTATCAGACGCAGTCTCTCTGGACCTTCTTGGGGCGATTTTAATGTGTTGCACTCGGGAGTGATTGAGACAGAGAGAAACTGGTCGTCGTCGCGGTTGGCCAACTAGAAAGGATGAAATAGAATGAGGTCTCTAAAGCTTAACCACGAACACTTACAAAACATCGGTATTTCTCCTCAATTCGTGATTCCCTCGAGTTGAGAACGGCAAAGTAGTGGTTCTTTCCGACGTACCAATCACCAAGACACTTGTACTGCACCTCGGCGTCTTCAGTGTCAGGTGAGTTGGGGCACTTTCGGTAGTTTATAATAAACTGCTGATTGATGTTAAAGAACTGTGTTCCTAAAAAAAATAAAAAAATAGTCAATTTGCTCTCTAATTGAATTGAAACAAACATACCGGGTTTTTGACAAGCAGTTATGTTTGCCTCTGGGTTGATGCACTCGCCAGCATAGGCTTTCAGTTTGTTCATGTAGTGAAAGTTCCAGACACCTTCTAAACTTGAGCGACAGTTTTTTCCTGAAGGATTTGTGGCTACAATCACACGTTTAGTAAGCTAAAAGTAACCAATTCAAGTTAATGTCATTTACCAAACAGAGTAATGTACTCCTTGCTATCGTCCATTCTTCTGCAAATATTAGCCATGTTCGGGAAACTGTTGGAATTTTGTGTCAAACAGCCAGCTAGAAAAAATATCAAATAATTTCATTTGCACTCACTCTACTTTTCAAAAACTTACATTCTATTTTTTCAAGGACATTCAACGTGCGAATCAGCAGTCTTATGCAGTGGAAGCAATCACTACAATATTCTATTCATTAGTACGGGTATTGGTTCATTTTAATAATGAGCAAACAAACTTTTCCTGAAATAGAAAAGTAAAGTTGTCATAGCTGTGTGTGACCATCTCTCTGCAAAAGCCCCGGTTCGAGAATGAGTTGGCGTTAATCTGTGTTTTCACGTTTTGCCCATCTTCTCGAGAGTACCATTCACCGTGGAAAGTGGCTGGAATGTGACATTGACTCTGGTTTGGATCGGAAAACTGAGCAACAGCATGCCATAGTTGTACTAAGGTAAAGAGGAGAAAATTAAAATATGTAAACTGTCGATTGTAGCAGCTGAATTGGTGCACTTACATAGAATCACCAGGGTCACAAGTTGACCAAACTTGGCACTTGTCAGTGGCCACATGATGACAGAAGGGGTGTTTTTCAAAAGAAGGTATATTCTGTCGCTCACTGCTGGAGCATTCTCTCACTCTCACAGATGACTTGAAGTGTGTGCGGACTTTGGGCAGTTTCAATTTCTAGGCAATGCACTGCTCTCTCTCCCTCTCTCCCTCGCCTGTCATGCATTGGAGAGACAGGCACACCTGAACATCGTTGCCAGGCGACCACCACATTTGCCAATGCCTCTCCAATGCTTTTCGACCCTCAACAGGTTTCGTTCTTTATCGTCAGTTCACTGCTCGGCAGCTGCGGCATTGCCAAATGTTGATGTTCTTTGAGTGAACACGTTACAGTTGATGATGCCAGATTTTACAAAATTTAATTTTGCAAATTATAAATCATTTTTGTGAAAAACTTAATTCAGAGATAAGTGATTTTAAAAGTTGTTTTTAAAAAAATTTATCTATTTCATCCTTTATAACAATCATCATTTATAAAAAATATAAGGTTTTAAATTATTTTAAAAGTAACTTTAAAATTAAGTTGCTGAAGACTATTCTGGCTGCTAATGCTACCCAAGAAATTCTAAATAAAAACCCAATAGCGGTTCACTTTCTCGCGGGTTCAGTTTGACATTAGATTTGGCAGCCCGCCAGACGGCACTACGTTTTGGCGAGACTCTTTATTTTCCCATTCTCATGTCAATGCACACAGACCTGCGTTTCGTCTGATCGTAGGGTTAAAGAGAAGCCTACGAGTCAGCAAACACTAGGCGATTCTCGATTTTAGAATTCATCTCTTCATCCTCTTTCATCAGTCAACAATACCCTACGCATCACTAGATACAGCTCAATATTTCAACACTTGGTGATTTTATTTCTACAAACGTTTTTATTATTGAGTAAGAATGCCAAACACCTGCTTTGATGGAGACTTCCGAAGCAAACCACAACAAAACTTTGCCGGAGTCAATCGCAATGTAAGCTCTCACATCTCTGATTGTGCTTTCAATGCCAACATCGTCACAGACTTTACTTTAAATTTTAAACTTTTATAAATAGCTACATCGCGACCAATTGATCGAGAATGCGGCTTTGGAAAGAAAGAAACGCGAGGTAACTATCACATCCATTGTTTACTATATTTTGCTGAATCATAGTCACTGACTACCTTTTTTAGGAGAGCAAAAAGCATACACAGTTTGCCATCAGATTTCAGGCAAACTTGCGAAGATACCTTGCTCGGAAAAAATGGGTATGTTTACTTTGTGTAAAAAGTTTTAATTTAATGTTTATCTTATCAATAATTGTTTTTAAATTCAGCAAGAGGTGTTTCGCAAGGAATACGATGAGAAGCTTTCCCAGATCACAGATAATGTCAATGTCAACTTGTTATCGTATCTTGCTAAGAGACTGATCTTTTTCTACTCACATTCAAGAGATGTTGACCGAATTGTAAGTTTCGATATCAAATAATCTTGTCTTTTGGTTTTTAAAGTTTAGTTTTGTTAATCTACTAATCTAGATTTTCTTCAACAAAATTTTATGTGAAAACAAAAGTACTGTGATACAACAGCAAAAGCTTCACCAAAAGCAATGGAACTGTTGGCTTCTGACCATCTTCAAACACAACAGCGCCATGCTATCTTCCATTACCGGAACAGACAACTCTCAAAGAATATGGAGTACGATAAATTCGATTGCAAAACTTTTCGATGAATACCTCAGCTGCAGCAATATGGCAGATAGTCAATTTGTCAACGAATGCTGGTACTTCATCGTTATGAGCGGACACTTTAAGAATTTACGCTCACTATTTGATAAGATTGACAATTTAGCCGCCAACTCGGAGGCGATCGAGTCGATTTGTAAAAACTTGCTATTGTCTCCACTGTCACTTGAAAATTTGTCCAAAGAACATAGCAAAGTTTTTGCACGCAGCTTTATGATGGACTTTCTTGTTGGACCACTCTCTGACAGTATGAAAAAGACCATCTTCCCTCGAATATATTCGTCTCGGCCTATTCATCTGAATGTCGTAACCATTAGCGAATCCTTTGACTCTGCCGCAAAGTCGATGGATTCGTATTCGTTTTTATGGTTATTCTATTCAACGTTGAAGATTTTAAAAACGCAAATAAGCTCAATACCAGTCAAGACATTTTTTACCGTTATTCGAGCTTTTAGTGAAAAATTATCCGCATACTTAAAGTCTAAGAACACTTTTAACTTTGAAGAAAAGCATACAAACGATGAAGATGAGGATGATGAAGAGTTGCCAAATGACTCCGAAGACAAATCTGAGACCGAGTTCAAATCATTCATTGAGGAAATGTTTGAAATTCTGAATGACAAAGACTTCTGCAACACTATCGTGCGCTACATGGACAACATACTGGAAAAGGACAAGGAATCGCTCGTCTCACTTTGTCACCTATGCCATTCTATGCTCATTTTCAGTCCAGTTGCTATTCACAAGAACAGGTTAGAGTTGGTAGGCGGACATTTCATTGCAGCCATTTTATCGCAAACATTTTCATCACACGACCTTAGCGGCTCACTCTGCAATGAAAAGGTCGCGTGATGAAAATGTTTGCGATGAAATAACCTAGAATCGTTGGAGTTGGAATTCAATTTGCCTAAAACATTACCATTTTTTTCTTCTAGATTGCTGCACTCTTTGGCATTCAATTCAAACTTTTTACGAGATCTCTGGAAGTATATTTCAACGGAAAATACCGTTTCGCTGTTTGATTCAGTCAAGACTTACTTGCATCTTCTCTCACACGGTGCTGCCTCAACACAGAATTCATCAGTAGACTGGCTCGAGTTCATCCCGTCACTAACTCTCTTCTGCGCCCTTTTCAACTACTTTTTGCAAACATTAGATGATGTTGAGTTCTTCAATGAATACAACAACAATCCGCTGGAAAGTAACACTGACAATTTGGCGTACAACTACAGCGTGCTTCCCTTCAAGCTAAATGAACTCGTCTCAATGACTTCAATTATTCGAGATAGCTGCATTTCTTTGATTGAGCTTGCCTATCAGGGTCAAAAATTCGCCAACATGACTTCGCGAATGTTTGGTCAGACGCTGGAAATTGAGGACAACTACACTATTCAGTGCTGGCGACTTCTCCTAAGATCGACCCTCAAGCTTCTGCGCCACATTTATGCTCGTGATACTCGGAAGCAGTTTTGCCCTAAGATGCACTGGATTTCCCCAAATACCTATGTGCAAATTCTGCCTGCCAACTACAACCTGGCAATTCAGCAACGCGGCCAACTTTATCAAGAGTTTCGGGGCATTCGCCACCTTGGTCGAGAGGAGATCAACCTGTTTGGGTCACCCATTTCAGTGAAGGACATTGTCAGGTAGGTTTAACCAGTTTTTACTCTAAGCATTCATTTTATTCATTCATTCATTTTTAACTTTACCAGTGTGACCATTGTACAAGAACTACCTTTCGTTGTACCATTTCACGACCGAGTCAAGATAATGCAATCACTTATTACCTACGAAAAGCGAGCCGATGATCAGCATTTACGCGACATTATTATGCCAGGAAACTCGATTTCAATTCGCCGAAATTATATCTACGAAGACGCTTTTGACAAGCTGAGTGTTGATAAATTTCCCGATTTGAAGAAGCAAGTTCGCATTTCGCTCATTTCTACGCTGGGCATGGAGGAGACAGGCATCGACGGGGGAGGCCTATTTCGGGAGTTCCTGTCTGAAACTTTAAAGGCTGCCTTTGATCCGAATCGAGGCTTTTTTCGCCTCACCCTTGACGGCCTACTCTACCCGAATCCGGCTGTTCAACTTCTGGTTTCAGACCACCACATGCACTACTACTTCATCGGTCGTCTGCTAGGCAAGGCCATTTACGAGAACATGCTCACCGAGCTGCCGTTGGCCCCGTTTTTTCTTGCCAAGCTTCTCAACTCCAACTCTGACGTGGAAATCAACCATCTGGCTTCACTTGACCCAGTGCTGTATAAAAACTTAATTTCGTTGAAGAACTACCGAGGCGACGTCTCTGAACTGGGGCTCGACTTTAGTGTGATGAACTGCGAGCTGGGCACCAACATCATTGAAAACCTGAAACCTGATGGGGCCAATATCGCAGTGACCAATAGCAACCGAATTGAGTACATCCATCTAATGTCGGACTACAAGCTCAACAAACAGGTAAGCGCACTTAAACGATGATTGAACATCCTGAAATTGACACACCTCTTCTTGCTTTTTGGTTCATAGATTCGCTCTCAGTGTAATGCTTTCAAAAATGGCTTCTACAACGTTGTAAACTTTGACTGGATTACAATGTTTGACCCGAGAGAGCTGCAGATACTACTCTCAGGTGCTCCTACTCCTATTGATTTGGAAGACCTGAAAAACCACACTGTTTACTCGAACGGATACAGCGTTGACCATCCCGTGATCAAAGTATTCTGGGAAGTTGTGGCCGAGTTTAGTGAGCATGAAAAAAGGCAACTCCTCAAGTTTATCACATCGTGCTCGCGACCTCCACTGCTCGGCTTCAAGGACCTCTTCCCCAAGCTTTGCATTCAGAATGCCGGCAAAGAGACCAAACGATTGCCTACCTCATCAACTTGCATGAACCTGCTTAAACTTCCGGAAGTTTATGACAAAAGTATGATGAAGGAAAAACTAGCCTACTCGATCAACGCTGGTGCCGGTTTTGAACTGAGCTAATTTTAATGTTTTTACCGTTTTTATGAACTGTGAATAAAAAGTAGTTTAATTTAGCATGTAAAAAATGGTGCAAAGATACATATGTTCAATAAATCACATTTTGTAAACATTTATTCTTCAAATTGTTCACCCTCACCTTCAAGGTTCCATAGGTAGAGTGTATTGTCAGCAGCTGACAGTAACTCTAAATTAGATGGATGAATACAAAGCGTATGAACGACATTGTGGCTGTGTTTCAGGCGGTGCTCCACTTTTCCCTAGTTTAAAAGTGTTAACAATATTAGATTAAATCAAATAATAGCAACATACCTCTAAAAGCGACCAAATATAAATGTTGCCATCCTCAGAGCCGGACACAACATATGAATCGTTACACAGGAGGCCATTGTCAATTCTATACTTTTTGTTTATATGGCCTTTGAACCTAAGCACAACAAAATATGGTTAGGATTTGATCAAGATATCAGTTTGCTCATAAAATTACTCAGCTAAAATGCTTCCAGAACTTTTGTCAAGTAACTTTATGCTACTATTTTGGCAGCTCACTAAGATACATTGATCGTCATTGGTGAACTTCAAATACGTCAGTGGACCTGTATGAAAACGGGAAAATTCAATAAGTTAGCTGAGTTCTTTACCGATTTAAAAAAATTTACAGTATAAGCAGTCGGCTTCCATCACGCCCTTGCGGATATCGTATCTTCTGACATGGTTATCGAGCGAAACGGAAGCAATCTCGTGATCATTAACAGCGACCATTGAGATGCTGTCTTTTGCTTCGTCTAATATTTGAATCGGTTCTCTTGAATGACCTTTGGCATCATAAATTTTGACTGTACCGTCCAACGAACCGGAGATAAATACTGATGAGTCTTCGTTGAAGCAAACACAGTTAACCGTCCCTATGTGAGCTCGATACCGACGCACCGGTGCTCCAGTTGAGACGTCCCAAATTATTACTGTTTTATCCTGACTTCCGGAAACAATTTGACTACTATCACAAGAACAGTCGGCATCCATTACTTCGGCACCATGTCCGCTGTACGTTTGGAGAAGTAGCTTTTTCTTGGGGTTCCATAGTTTGATGGTTTTGTTGCTTCCGCAAGTGAGACAATATTCACCTTCGGCTAAAGAGATACTGTTAGCAACAAGATACGTCCTAGATAAAATATTACCGTTATACAACACTTTTCTGACAGCTCCTTGATTGCAATTTAAAGAAATGAAACTTGGATTTGGTGAAAACTTCATAATTTAAAAATTTGCAAAAAATTATTTTGTCGACATTTTTTTTGACCGCTTGATTTTTGTAAACAAAAAAAGGCGATTTCTACCTCAAGTCTATTGCCACCGAAACGTGTGCAAAATTTGAATTTGCAAACCTCGAAAACCAGAAACCATGGCAAAGTCACTTCCATTTAAAACGACTGCTTTTCATTTCACTGCCTGTATCCCCCCTCTTGCTAATACAAGTGAATTTATTTGAGCCTCTTTTAAAGTAAAAAGTTGCTACAAAGCAGACTGCTGCATTGATCCTGTTTGGTGAAAGCTCTGCAGTGACAATATCAGAACATTACTGACTGATGCGAGAACAATAAAGCTTCTGTTGCGAATATGGTGCTTTGTCAGCCAGAACTGTGATTAATGTGTACCTTGATTGGCTGTCAGAGATCTGGTAACAGAGAGTGTCACCTCGCCACCTACCACCTACCATCATCATCAGCAGCCGCGTGTCTAATTGAAGTGAAGACTATATAGCGGATGGTCGTGCATAACAGCACAGTGGCCACCATCACCAGCCGTGGCATTCACCAGCATTTGTCCATTGAAGGCCGGTGCGAGCGTCGATGTTTCTGTGAGGTGGTGCATGCGTTCAGCACTAGCCTGGTCTTCTGGCCGACACACTTTCCACACACTGCTGTCTGTCTGCTTATCTGGGAGCCATTCTTTCCCTCCCTCACAGTTCCTGTCTTCAAATAGGAAGCCAAGTGGACAGCAGCAGGACTAGAGGGACTGGGCTGTGAGAGAGTATCTGTGAGTGCGTGTGTGTGTGTGTTGACAGGAGTGCAGTCACCAAGACTGGCAATTGGCAACTGCTGCTGCCGACGCTGTCCAAACCGTTTGTCGAGTTGGCCGTCGTCGTCGCCGATTGTTCGAGTCGACGCCAGCACTCTTCCTCCTCTGCCTATACTTTTCTCTCTCTCTCTCTCTCTCTCTCTCTCTCTCTCTCTCT